GATGGGATGGGATGGGGTGGGATGGAGTGGGATGAGGTGGGGTGAGGTGGGGTGGGATGGAGTGAAATGAGATGAAACGGGATGGAATGGAATGGAGTGGAGTGGGATGAGATGGGATTGGATGGGAGAAATGGGACGGATCCTTGGGGAAGCTGTGCCCCTCAGTGCATCACTCTTGGGAGGGGAGGGAAAGGGGGGCTGCAGATAAGCAATGGGGGTTAATGAACAGCCAGGCTTAATGAGCAGCGGGGTTTTCTCCATCCAGCAGAGCTCCGCACGGCTCTGCCGGAGGCTGAGGCTGGCGCTGGGTTGCTGCAGGTGGGCGGGATGAGAGTTTCACGACCCGGTGAAACCAGCAGCGGCGTGGGCAGCATCTCTAAGCGTGATTAACGCCGGGGGGAGGCGGGCAGGCTGAGCAGTGCTTATCAAAGCGAGGGCTGGAGGAGATGAGAACAGAAAGGAACCACTGTCAGTCACCGCCAGAAATCCCCCCTCCAAACAAAAAAAAAAACGACGTGATAAATCGTGAGCACCACCCGCTGCCACCTCCGCTGGCTCCGAGCGTGGGATACCTGGGAGGAGGCCGGCGCTGCGTGAGATTTCCAGCCTTATTTATTGGAGCTCGTAATTCAGATGAGAAAATGGAAAGAAAGAAAAAAAAAACAAATCGTGCGTCTCTCATCCCAGCTGCCTCCCAGGCTGCGTGCTGCTCCCTCCCTCCCTCCCGGCTCCTGGCAGCTGAGAGCTGCGGGAATCCAGATGATCCAGGAAGTTTTGCTTGGAAGGATCCGTGGGGCTGGGAGGGGGGTGAGGAGAGATGCTGAAAGAGGAAGGATCTGGGTGGGAGAGGAGAGCAGCGGCTGCGCTGCTCGGGTTGGAGCTGCGCTGGGGAATGGTCCGGCTGCAGAATGGAGGGGAGGGTTGGCAAGAAGCGGCTCAGCTGCCGGCAGCAACGTCCCAAAATCCCAGCCGTGCCAACAGCGGTGTCCCAACATCCCAGCCGTGCCAGATCCGCGGGCCCGACGGGTGCGCGCTGCCCTCTGGTGGCACCGGGCGCTGCGTCAACTCCGGGTTGCTGAACAGTTTTTGCACAGATGTAAAATAAAACAAAACAAAATAAAATAAAATGGGTGGTTCTTTTTCTCTTGTTCTGTTTCAGCACACTGCAGCTTGGCGGTGGGACGGGAGAGAGGAAGGAGGAAAAGCCCCGTGACAGAGCTGTGGCTTTTAGCAGCCCTGTGAAAATCTGGACTAGTTCAGGTGATGCTAAAGCTGTTTAATGGGATGGGATGGGATGGGATGGGATGGGATGGGATGGGATGGGATGGGATGGGATGGGATGGGATGG